CAGGCTTCGGTGCAACCTGGAGAGAAATCACCGTTGAGAAGGGCTCAACTGTTGCTGTACTAGGTCTTGGTGCTGTGGGGCTTGGCGTAAGCGCATTTCGCAAAATCTCTAATGTTTTCTAATCTTAAAGAATTAATCTTTTATACACTGAATAATATACGATATTTAGTTATAGGACTGGACTTAGATGAATACTACGTGCAAAAACTGTTTTTCATGGACAGCTAATTATATACAAGAATCTAAACTTGCTCGTGTAGATAATTAAAGTTTTAGATGTTTAGGTGATTGCATTTCGAAATTGTAGGTGGCAGAAGGAGCTCGGATGCAAGGGGCGTCTAGAATAATTGGAGTAGACAAAAATGAGATGAAACGTAAAAAGGGAGAGGCATTTGGGATAACTGAGTTCATAAATCCCAAGGGCTCTGACAAATCAATTTCAGATCTGATTAAAGAAGTTACCGCAGGATTGGGAGTGGACTACTGTTTTGAGTGCACTGGTGTGCCAGACTTGCTCAATGAAGCTATTGAAGCCTCAAAAATTGTGAGTTTGTAGAAATTCATGTAACAGGTTATAATCATAAACTGAACACTACAAATTGATTCTGCTGATTTCTTTTATATGTAAAAATAATCAGGGACTTGGAACATCCGTGCTTATTGGAGCTGGATTTGAGACAAGTGGTGATTTCAAGTACATTCCACTCATATGTGGTCGAACACTGAAAGGATCTGTCTATGGCGGAGTGAGACCCAAGTCAGATCTTCCACTGCTACTAGAGAAATGTGCAAACAAGGTAATCTTCATACTTAGTGTATAATATGTATAACTCAAGATCTCAATTATGTTCTGTTAGTTGGGACTCTGGCAATGTGACAAAAAAGGCTAATTGAAGGCTCTAAGAATGAACCACACCACTAAACCATTTAAGGTTTGGTGGGGTAGGAGGCAAGGGTCCACCAATTGCCACATTAAGTGGCTTCTTAAAAAATTCATACGGGTCGTAGAACATTCGTCATCCGGTGGTGTGGTTCAGTCCTCACTGGCTCCCTTAAATTCAGTTGGATCTCCCTCTTAGATTATGATAGTGTAGGATACTATAGATAAAGTGACGATTGACCAAAAAAAAGCTCTAAGAATGAAACATTTCTCAACAGTTTCTTACACAGCCCACATTATGTTATGGTTTCTTCTATTTTATGGTCCAAATTATATTATGTTACTAAGCAAAATTTTTAATGGTTTGTGCAGGAAATTCCACTGGATGAGTTAATTACACATGAAGTGACATTGGATGAAATTAACAAAGGATTTGAGTACCTGAAACACCCAGACTGTGTCAAGGTCGTTGTCAAGTTCTGAGTGATCTATCAGTCTGTGGAATTGCTATTATTCTACTCTACAAATAATAAGTGGATATTGTGATTATTGAATATGTTATCATAGATATTACCCTCATGTTGAGAATGGGAAAGACTCGATGTACCAGTGCTGTTAAACATCAAGGATTTTGCTGTTTTATGAAGATCATAAGCCATGAAAGGCATCTTATATTGAGTTCTAATTCAAGTTTAAAGAAGCAGTAGAATGGATCCAAACATGCCCATTTAAAGAAATAAAATAAAGGGAGGCCAAGGAATATTTTCTTTTTTCATTTTCTTTTAGGGATTTTAGGATGGGAGATCTAAATCTAAGTTCCAAGTGGTATGGCTCAATTTCCGTTGGCAAATAATTCTTTTACCTTGATTGAGAGTTGAGATAGAGAAGGTTAAATGCATCTCTGATAGATAGTTACTAAATGATTCATCTAGCTTCATAATCAATAATGTTATTTTTCCATACGTCATAAAGGTAAGAGGTTCCGTGATTAGTTGCATGAAGAAACTTTTATGTTAATTTTCTGCTCTTATAATATGTGGACCTCAATAGAGACCTCATTAATCACAAAACTTCTAATTTCTAGTACACATACCAAAATAACATAGAATTCGATCATTTTGGTAGGGGAAAATCGTTCAAAATATTCCTTGTTTTTTTGTTAAATAATTTTTTTCATCTTTCACTTTTAAAGTAGTAAATTTACGTTTCTTACAAAATCAAGTCGATAAAATTTGATTCCAATTTAAATTTTTCATAACTTTTTACTTTAAATCTATCACGCACCCCACATATGGTCATTTTTTAAAAAACAAAAAGATTAGATCTTATTTGTAGTTAAACAAACGATCTAATCCATATTCAGTTTTGTCTCTAAAAAAGTAAGATATGACATGAACCATATTTATTTTTCTCCTAAAAAATGGGATCTGATCTAATTTATATTTATTTTTGTCACTAAAAATGTGGGATTCTGACATGTTTGTATATAAAAAAAAAATAACTGTATATAGGTCACATGATGATTTTAGACTAAAAAACGATCAAAAAATTAGGTAGAGACCATATTTTTATAATTTGAATTTGTAAAGAACATAAAGTTAATATTTTAAAAATGAGAGACGAAAAAAGTCATTTGACAAAATGTAAGGATGGTTTTGAATGATTTTCACTTTTGATAGATATAAAATAGGGAATGCAAATGCAATTTAAATCAAACACAAAATTGGCAATGAACTTATGAATCAAAATCAACAACCCCAAAATGACCAATATGAACATTCCTGTAAGCCATCGCGCCTCCATGCTAAAATTACAATTACTGGACAAGATTCTAATCCTAATATGGTATCCAATCTCCTCTTTTTGGAGCTATTTCTCTCCCTTTTGTCAGGTCCAAACTAAGCTTACGCAGGAAATCAAAATGAGGACCAAGATGCGATATCTTGATAATTTCATGACCAAGATACATCATTTAAACATAATGGACTAAAAAAGCAGTTAATAAACTACGAAGTGCAAATCTCTAAGGGGCAAAAAACAAAAAAAAAAAAAAAAAAAGACATGGATTACACCCGCAAAATTACAAATTCTAAAGGTTGTTCTATCATTCTTTTCTTAGGAATTTTTTGGAGCAAGACAAAATAAAGAGAAGAATGAATAGAGCAATGAGGTTCCGCGTGGAGAAGGGAAATCAATTATTTTTATCTAGTAAGAGTGGAAACATAAGAACTCCCCCAAAATAAATATATTTGCCAAATCAAGAAAATTATATTGGAAAAGCCTCTAAATTAACTCAGAAATGGTATTTGCTCCAAAAAAAACAAGAAAAACTCAGAAATGGTAGATATATTTAACGCCCAGAATATATTCCCATATTTTAGGGATCATGTTCACATCTCCATGGATATATTCAATTTTCCATAGTAAATATCAACACTATCACTGTTCATCTCTATTTCCACGTTACCTTCTCCACCAATGCAGCTCTTCTACATTTTCAAATCAAACGGTAAAGAATCTTCTTCCCTAATCCCCGCCATCCAGACCCCCTGTCAAGAGCCTGCCTTCAAATCATCTCTTCTAACAAAGAACACGTTTGAACACAAAGAGAATGGTTAGTGTCTTCTTGTATTATTTTCAAGTATTGGGATTTTCTATCATATTTGAAAATCAAGAATATCGCAATAATTCCTTATTTGAGAACAAGGGCTTAATTTTCTGCTCTTTGAAAAAACAAAAAGAAACATCATGGCTTGTCTATTCATGGCTGCAAGAATTTTTTTCTCACTTTGTTCTTCTTTTCTGACATCTAAAACAGGGGAAGTTGCCTGTGTCGGAGAAGAAACTTTTCCGGAAAAAGAAGGTGGCTGCTCAACATCCATTTAACCCCGTCAGAAGAGTACGCGAATTTTTTTCCTTATACCAATGGTTGTTTTTTTTTCCTTTAATTCAAGAAATCGAATTTCCTTATAGTACAATAAGGAAAAAGAGAGAGAGAGAGAGAGAGAGATCAGTTTACTTTGTAAATTTCTATTGCTAGTAGCTGAAACTAGACACGATTATCGACAGAACACTAACATTATATATTGGAAAACTATAAGAAAGAGACTTAAAACTTCATATGTTTGTTGTAATTTATCATCCAACCATTAGTCATAATGAATATAAGTCCTCACCACAGTCCTCCATAAGGTTACCAGATGATCACTTCTCAACTGTGACTAATTCGGATTTCTGATCAATCATAGCAAATTAGGTTTGATGTTGAAACTTGAAAGTATGATTTTATACTGATAATTGTCCATAACCCTTTTATCATCTACTAATAATTGAGAACATTGTTATTGATCAGACGAAGGATACGAAAATTATTGCCTTATACCGATAACCCTTTTAAAAAATTTGCGGTGAGAATTGGTAAACTTCATTTGTTGCAAAAATGTACTCTTATTTTTTTTTTTTTTCTTATTGAGATCCAGAATTATGTGAACGTTGTAAATTTTAACTTTCATGGCCTTGATTAGTCTCCTTGTCTTGTTTCTCATAAAGTTAAATCTTTGATGGACAAATATGTTTCTGTGAAGCCTACACGAAAAAGAATTACTTGCATACAGAAGGAAAATACTATCAACAAGAAGCCCAAAAGAGAAAGTTGTCCTCCCATGAAGGTAAAAGTTGAAGTTGACGAGATGCAGATAACATGGTAATCAGTCATAAATGTTTGTATCATTTCTTGAAAAATTATTCTAGTACTTGTTCTTAACTGTGATCATGGAGATACTGAATTATATCTGATTTATTATGCTTCTTTTTTTGTGTAAATTTTTTAGCTATGATGAAATGATGGAGAAAAATGTTGAGTCTTCACATGCGGATAGTGAAAATACCAAGGAAAACAGGAAGCAGATAATGTGGTTAGTGGTAAATTGACAAAATATATTATTAGTTGCTAATAAATGTGATCACGGAAATTTCAATTATTATATGATATATTATGCTTCCCTTACCATTTTCTAGCTATAGCAAAAATGTGGAGACAAGTAGTGATTCTTCAATGGCTGGTTCTGATAAAGCAAAGTCCACCGCCCTGTTGGACAGAGCAAATGAATTTCTAGCAAAGTTGCCATCAGATGATCCTAACTTTGTGAAGCTGATGCTTCCATCACAAGTTAGTGGCGGATTTTGGTTGGTAAGATTAATCATATGTACCCAATTAAAGTGCTCTTTGGGCTTTGAATTAAGTTCATCCTGGCTCAAACTTAATGGTAGTATTTGCTTTCAGCAATGGCCTAAGGATTTCTGCCAAAAACACATGCCCAAGAAAGATGAATACATTGTTTTGTTGGACGAGAATGAAAAAGAATATGACATCAAATATCTTGCACAGAAGAGTGGATTGAGTGGAGGATGGAGAGGTTTCTCCATTAAACACCAATTATGTAAAGGAGATGTGCTAATTTTCCAATTGGTCGACTCTAACAAATTTAAATTTAAGGTAACAAATTCAAACCAATACTTGTATTAATTGTCTCTTTTTGGATTGATTTGCAGTTTACTCATTTTGATTGGTATTATTTTCTTGTATAGGTTCATATTTTCAAAGCTAAAGGAGGCTCAAGAAAACTTGAAAGGGACAATGGCCTTTTGAACTCAGAAGGCAAAGTTACATCAGAAATTGCAAAGGGTATATGTGCTGTCCCAAGCTTTGTTGTTTTTCGTGTACATTTTTGCTTGATGCTATGTTTTCCACCTATAAAGAATCGACCACTGCTAATCATTTGTAATTTTATCATTTGAAGATGTGAAGGAAACTGAGAGTTTCAACATTCTTTGGAATGGTGAAGTCGTAGACTCAGAGATATCGGAGCATGTTCGAAGCCAATACTATCAATTGTGCTGCAGTCAAAAATCAGGTCTTCATGATGGTCTTGTCAAATGCATAGATAAGAAGTTGGCCGCTGGCATAATATCTGAAACCGTAAAGATTGCTGATGCCATTAGAGCTGCCGAGATTACAACCACCTCGTGCAATGATGTCCAACGATGGGATCAAACTCTCAAGGGCTTCGAAGGAATGGGCATGAATGTTGCATTTCTACGTGCAACTATAAAGAACATACTGGACTCCATCCAGCGCAAACAACAGGAGAAGATTAAACGAAAGACAAATGAAAGAGCTCAAGCTGAGAAGGAGATGAGAAATCTTGAAACCCAACTTGTGAATGTGAAAAAGAAGATCAGAGTTCTGGATGATGAAATCGATGTTATTAGAGCACAAAATGAAAAGCTTGAGCACTCATTCAAGGAAACTGCTATTGCTCCCTGGTGACAAGGTAGATTGAGGTTATTTAGTCTTGCTTGCTATCATGATGTAAAAATTGATACTCATGACTCATGAGTTCTGATACAAAAGACTAGCTTGGATGAGATTGGAATATGTTATTTGAATCGCTGTTTAATGACTGAATGTATCTTCTGCTATAACAAGTTAAAAAGCAAGCAAGATTGCTCTCAAAATTTGCCAATTGCGTCTTGGATGTTACATGAAAAATTTAGAGCATATATATAAGATATAGGCTGAAAGCATGAGAATTGAGACCTGAAGTCACAAGTTTGCCTACGTTTCTCCTTGATCCGGAAATCTCTTCTCTCTCTTAAAATAGTTCTCAAACCAAAATCAGATCAAGAAACCCTAAAAACAGCAACACCGAGGACAAATTTACAAATCACTGGCCTCCCCATTATCTATTTTTCTATAAATTAGTAACAATTAAAGAAGAAGAAATTTTTCTACTTGGTCTGATGTACCTTATCCTTTTGTCAAGTTACCTACATCTCTAACTACATAAGGCGTCGAAGGTCTTGCTACAGTGATTTCGCTGGTTATTTTGTAATTTGGCTGTTCGATTTGTCCTTCTTTGTCCTGTGGTCCAATGTGTAGCCGTCAACGTCCTCTGCTCTCAATCTGTGCCCGTGAAGGTGTGAAGCTCCAGTTAGAAGTTATAAATCAATTGTCCGGCTTTGTTCTATTAAATCACCCGTGCTCCCTGCTTTGTTCGATTAAATTAAGCCCTCTTCATTATTAAATTAAAGCTGCTCACTTGTTCGATTAAATTAAATGCTCGATACAGACTGATAATTAGTTGTATTAAATTAAAACTACTCAATTATTAAATTAAAGCTATTGTGTTTTTAGATTGAGTAGCATGGCATAAATGTGCTCAATACAAAGTGATAATTAGTTGTGTGTCTTATTAAATTAAATCTAATTAGAGCTTTTGTGTACAAGATTGATCTCTCAATTATTCAATTAAAGCTACTCAATTATGAAATTAAAGCTATTGCATTTTCGGTGATAATTAGTTGTGTGCCTTATTAAATTAAATCTAATTAGAGCTTTTGTGTATAAGATTGATCTCTCAATTATTAAATTAAAGCTACTCAATTATTAAATGCTCGATACAGACTGATAATTAGTTGTATTAAATTAAAACTACTCAATTATTAAATTAAAGCTATTGTGTTTTTAGATTGAGTAGCATGGCATAAATGTGCTCAATACAAAGTGATAATTAGTTGTGTGTCTTATTAAATTAAATCTAATTAGAGCTTTTGTGTACAAGATTGATCTCTCAATTATTCAATTAAAGCTACTCAATTATGAAATTAAAGCTATTGCATTTTCGGTGATAATTAGTTGTGTGCCTTATTAAATTAAATCTAATTAGAGCTTTTGTGTATAAGATTGATCTCTCAATTATTAAATTAAAGCTACTCAATTATTAAATGCTCGATACAGACTGATAATTAGTTGTATTAAATTAAAACTACTCAATTATTAAATTAAAGCTATTGTGTTTTCAGATTGAGTAGCATGGCATAAATGTGCTCAATACAAAGTGATAGTTAGTTGTGTGTCTTATTAAATTAAATCTAATTAGAGCTTTTGTGTATAAGATTGATCTCTCAATTATTCAATTAAAGCTACTCAATTATGAAATTAAAGCTATTGCATTTTCGGATTGAATACCATAACATAAATGTGCTCGATACAAAGTGATAATTAGTTTTGTGACTTATTAAATTAAAGCTAATTAGAACTTTTGTGTATAAGATTGATAATATTTGTTAGCTATTGTTAGCTTTAAGATTGAATATCATAATATAACGTATATGTGCTCAATACAAAATGATACTTAGTTGTCTACCTTATTAAATCCATTAAATTAAACTCTCTCGATTATTAAATTAAAGCTACTCATCAGATCTTACATGGTTCTTCTTTGTTCCTTTCACATTACGTGGCGCAATTCTCCTTTGAGTGTGTCAAATTTTGCCTGACGTGTTGCATGGTTACAAATTACACAGTCAAATTTTGCCTTACGTGTTGCATGGTTACAGATTACACCTTGCAGATTGCACTGGGTCAAATTTCATCTTACGTGCTTACAGCTTACGCATTACAGCTATATTTGGTTCATTCGGTGATTACAGATATGCTTGCTTCGTTTGGTTCTTTTATCATAGTGGACTTGCAATCATTACGTGGATTTAATGCATGCATGTGCTTGCTTTTACCAAAGCACAGGCTCTTTGTATAGTTAAGCACTCTGTGTGCTATATCTACATTAGCTTTTCCACCGTCAGTTTCTTTGCTTTGACTTTCTCTACGTGCATACCAGCAACTATTATAATGTTTTAGAGATGTTTCTCTTTTGTCCTGCGTCTTTCTGTTAAGCCTCCATCTTGTGCCAGCTTTTGGTGATTTTTGTTTCCAGTTTTCTCGTTCTCGCTCGCTTCAATCAGGTGCTGCCTGTTTTTCTTTACTGTATTTCTCCACTTTTGCGCCTAATATAGCTGTTTATTACGTTGTTCCTTCGGTGAACTTTTTGCTGTTTCACTGTGTTTGTTTATTTTTGTTTCGTATGCTTCAGATTATGCTTTTATCATTTTCTCTTCCCCATCATTTCCATTTCTTTGTTGCAAGTTTTTAGTTTGCATGGACTCTGACTTTTCTTATGTTAGCTACTTCCATGTTATATTTATCTTTTCTGTGATCTTATCGGTTTATTCCATGCAGCTCAGTTCAACCATCCTATTCGAAACTTATTGTTCAGGTAAAGCAATCTCTCCTTTACTTATTTGTTCCTCATCTGCTTAGTGCTTAGCCTGTTCTACTTCGTTGTGTTTTATTTTCTATGTTTGTTATCGTTTTGCTTATTAAATGGTAATCATCTCTTTCATTCACGCTTGTTTTGTCTCCTCCAAGAAACTTTAGATGATTTATGATTGTGATTGTTGGATGTCATGGATAACAGAATTTTCTTAATTTTGGCTACAATTGCATATGGGTCGGAAACGTAAATTTTCCTCAGAAGATGAATATCGTTTAGAAAAAAGCCGTCGTGATCGAGGAAGATATATTAGAAAATTACTTCGACATAAAAATGCAGCTTTTTTGGCTATTGAACCCCAGAGTGCAGAAACGCAGGTTTTACCTATGACCACTGCTCCTCAGACAACTGAGCACAATCTTTTTGATGTTCCTGTTCATCATGATTTGCCAGCTAAACATGCAGTCGGCTGTTTCTGTTTGGATTTGCCTGTGTTTTCACTTCCAGATAACACAGATATTCCATCAACTTCAACTGTGTCCAGCATTGATCCATGTAGTATTCTTCCCTTATTGTTATGTGCTCTTTTTTTGTGTCCTTTTTTCCCCTGACCTATAGCAGGCTTGATCATCTTGTTAATATTTTATTCATATAGTTTGTCCAGCTATAAACGATGATTCGGTTTCACAGAGTTTCTTTAATTCAGTTTCGTCACATGTTCATGTACACCAATTTCCTCTTCCTCCTCATTCAGGTAGTAGTGATATCGTTCTTTAAATCATCCACTCACTATCAATATGAAATCAGAGAAACATGCTAGCTCACTCAATCACTTAATTTCTCCATAAAATATTCAGCTTGCATTTCAAACTTTCAATTTTCAGCCTCAAACTCATCCATAAACGAAGGATCTAATATAGCAACATCTTCAAACCTTCGACCGGGTATCTTATCAATTTTCAATCTTGCTCCTATATCCTATTTATACTGGTCAATATACTTTTATTTCTTGCATAACCAGATACTGGCCATGCTGTATACTTTTAGGTAATCATCGCCGTCGAACAAATATACCGGTCGAACAAATATACCGCTCATAGAGCAGATACAATCAGAGCCAAGTATATTGCCATTTGTTCCAGATTGTATTCACTGCCATGCTAAACGGTATTACATGGAGCTGCCTCGATTCTGCTGTGCTTCTGGAGAGATTAAATTAGCACCAACCAAAATGCCTGATAGATTAGTACAGCTTTATAAAGCAAACACTCCTGAATCAAAAGAATTCAGACAATGTGTTAGGAGTTATAATAACATGTTTGCTTTCACATCTCTGGGGGTTCATTATGATAAAGATCTCAGCAAGAGGAATGATGGTATCTATACTTTTAGGGTGCAAGGACAGATATACCATTTTATGAACTCATTATTTCCTTCTGATGATGACAAGGCATCAAACTTGCAACTGTATTTTTATGATACAGAACATGAGTTAGCAAATAGAATGGCTATCTCAGGCAAATTCAAAGAGTCTATTGTACAACAGCTGAGGTCTATACTTGATGAAAATCCATATTCTGCTTTTATTCGAAGCTTGACAGAAGTTCAGGACCTAGACAGATATCGGATATTTCTAAAGTCTGACAGTATATGCCGCTCTACTTTTTAACAACATTCATCCCACAACAATCAGCAAGTGAAGCACTATCTCAGCAAGTCATACAGAGCACGCCACACACATTGCTAACAAGACCAACATCTCCCCTAAATAATACGCCAGAGGAGACTGTTTCAGACACAAACATCACCGAAGCATCTGCATCTTCAACCCCAACCACTGACAAAACAATCTCGCCACATCCAAAGCTGCTAGAGACCTCATCCTCCATCAAGCGCAATCTTGAGGCAGATTTCTCTGAAAGCACAAAGCATCAAAAACTAAACTAAATAGTTTACATTCCAGTTGGATGTAAAACAAAAAATTGTACTTTTTGTTTACGAATCATAGCAGCTTTCTACAATTTTGTTCTGTACAAATAACAACTAACTTTTGTATTAAGCTGCAATTCCCAATGATCATGTATATATAAAAACGCATGGTTTTCTACTTTCCTGTTTATAATCCATCTCTTACACAAACATCTTCTTTACAAAAAAACCACCAGTTAACACTCACCAACAAGATAATATGGGCACCCCGCGACACCCGCGGGGT